CGTATTTCGTCTTAACGAGCTTTTATTGTACTTTTTTTTAACCTCTAAATATTCGGAAGTAAATAGCCATGGGGCTGGGTAAGAGTCCAGAAATGAAAATGGCAAATTCATGATATTGAAAAAAGGCTCTAGTGTTGGTTGTGAAGAGGACTAGCATTACCGGGCATTCTTCAGAGTAGGTACACATTGAGGCGGACATCTGCCATATTGGAAAAATTAAAAATGACCCCGAAAAATGACCTGGAGGTCATCGCAGACCTCAAGAAGTTTCGCAGCTTCAATGAGAGTACCTACAGCAGCTAGTGTTGCGTTCCGTAATTTATCCGGCCACGTACGTTACCAATGTAAGTAAAAGTTTGGTTCCCTCGGCATAATTGATGAGAGATTGTCATCGGACACCAAAAGAGTCTTTGTTCACAACATGAAACACAATTTAGGGTTTCCTAATCCGCCTATCCGCCAGAACGTACAATTTAACTGATGTCTAGGGTCACATTTGAAGACAATTATTTTCATGATCTCTTATAAGTCACAGCCAAAGTCACAAAAAACCATCCAAATATAATAAAAATAGTCGAATAAACATTTGAAGACTCTTAGCCTTTAAGTAAACTGTCGATTATTTGATTTAGTTGATTAACTTTGAATTGTTTAATTTGTTGAAATTGATTTTCCTACATTATAGCCAATATCATATTAAGAGAATGTGTTTTTTAGATGTATTTATACGTTTCAACCTTTTTTTTAATGTTAGTGTGTATCTAGGTCAATTCATAATGATACATTGCAACGTACGGGAACTTTCGGGCCAGCGTAAGCTTAGTGCGTGTGTGCGGCATGCGGCATGTCGCTTGGGCAGTGCAGAGGACGCGCGCGCGCGTTGCGCTGCGGCGCGTCCATTTTGCCCCAAGTGTCTTTCCTTGCGCGCGCCTTTCTCGGGTGTTTTGCGGCTTTTGTGTTGCAGATACGACCAAACGGACGAAATTTTCGCTCTTTAGGGCCGTAACTCGGCGTTTTCCACTAGGAAACAGTGTTATTTTGTCTAAAAACCTCAAATTTCAACCTGTGTCACTTAAGTCGTTTGAGCACCGGGTAAAAATTGTTTTAAAATTTTTTCCTTGCACAGGGCTTCTAATCTATCCACACATCAACTTTTAAGACCAGGACCTCCTTCGATTTCGAAAATTTAAAAAATAAGAAACACCCTATCCCCCCCCCCCCTCCGAAAAGGGGCTCAAACCTAAAGAACAAGCATTTTCACCACATTAATAAGTGTCTCTGACCTCCAAGAGTATTTTAACCCAAAACTTTCAAAATTTTATAAAACAGACATTAGCGGTTTTCACACGAGCCGATTTAATTATAATACATGTTAAATTGTATGTACATTACATACTACGCTTTCAGCTTTTTTGTATTGTTCTTCCGCAACGTTTCAGTTACTCATGGGAGCCATCTGCAGAGGATGTCACTTAGAACTATATTGTACTGTAACTATGAACTAGGATAAAACGTTAAAATTGCACCGTGCTACGGTATTATCAAAATGGTTACGAATTGCACAAAACTGTAAAGCTGCTAGCTCGCACACAACCAGGTTATGTTGTTACTGTTATCAAAATCAGCCGAATAACGAAATCACAAGCCTCTTACATACAATACTTCGATCAGCCTACTAGTATCTATTTTTTCTGCAGGTTGCCTCCTCTGCCCTGTCTCACATTTTTACTCAGGTTTCTGTGATAACTTCTTCAATAATCCTGATGGACATCCATTATTTAGCTCTATCATACATACCAGATGTAAAAATCTGTCCGTGTGGTGGTGGTCTAATTGCGCGCTGAAACAAGTTATCCACAACATTCACTCTCCAAAGAAGTAACTGCCCTACACCAACCCCAGCAGGAGATGGGCCGTGAATTTAATTTTGATGAAGTTTAAATCCTATGTCATGAAAAAAGAGATTTTCAGCGTATGCTAAAAGAAATGATTGAAATTTTAAAACATGAGGAAAATGTGTATAATGCTCGATCAGATGTAAGCAAACTCAGTTTTCTTTACCACTGGTTTTCCATATTCGGACGTAAAGGCCTGGATACAAATTTCCATCATACACTCAAATTTCCATCAATTTCCGATCAAACGGTGACTGGTGCGCACCATCTATCAAATTTTTGTGGCCTGCAAAAATTTGACGGCCATTTTTGTCATCATTTAAAGGAGGCGTCTCTTCAAGTTGAAACCTTGTATGGAAGTTTGCCTTACCATAAGCTTTCATTTGAGCCTTGTCTCGTTGACCAATTCAGGTGTACTAGTCTGTTGAACCACGATGATCCAGAATTCCTCGATATTAGCCCATGAAAATGGAAAATTGGCAACGCTGTACATCCTAAAGGAGGTGTCACTTCAAGTTGAAACCTTGCATGGAAGTTTGCCTCGCCATAAGCTTTCATTTGAGCTTTGTCCGGTTGACCAACTCGGGTATCCAAAAAGGGGCTAAAAAACACCCCTTTTTTGCAAGGCTCCGAACCGCATGCTTTTTGGCAGAAACCGAGAATCTCCTCTTCTACCGTTTAGGGATCATTTCGTTTTCAAAAGCGGTCGAATCTGACTGAGCGCTATTATTGACTTCTTGAATTACACATTTGAAGCTTCAAATAATCCAAAGAATGGTGGAGTTTTCATTGATCAGATAATATAAATATCAGGAATGCTTTTTGCATGAAAAATCCAATGCTCACTGAAGAGTCCACTGAAAGATGATGCAAATTTCATATTCATACCTGGAACAATAGAGAGTTGTATTGTTATCCCCAGAAAATCCCGGCAAAGTCAAAGCGGGAGAAAACATTAATTCCACATACGGGAAGGAGCTCTTGAAAATCATGGAATAAGCATGGTCAAGAAGCTTAGACACTGTGGCAGAATGTTTCTGGTAAGCATTGTTGAGGAGGTCACAGCCAGCAAGATGCTTTACTGCTGTGCTGTAAGTAAGTAATGAAAAGAAAATGGAACCTAGCTCCATAGAACTGCCGTGATAGCGAAGAGAGCGAGAAGTACAAAATTTTCGAAATCGAGTTTTCTTCAAAATTCGTTTAAACTCTTTTAGATGAAATTACTGAGACAGCTAAAACAGCAAAATTCATCCTAATTTAATGAAAACGAGACGTATGTCAAAGCCGTAAGTGCACAAAAAATGACACAGTTTTTTTTCAAGACAGCCATAGATGCATGAGAGCCAATGAAAACAGTGCTTTCCAGTTAAGTGCCGCCCTCTTCTGCCAATTCCCAACCTGAAAATGTGTTTATTGTGCGTCCAAAACGCAACCACGAAAGCATGCAGAAGATAGCACCTACGGCTGTCTTGCCTAACAATAACCTAACACGAAACTGAATTTTACCTTTTTCGTGTACTTTAAAATAAAATCGGTCGAGTTTTAATCCCCCAAATGATTTTTAGGAGTCTTCCGGACGAATAGTGGCAATTTGACAAAGAACGGAGGCTTCTTTCAATAAAATGTTCCGGTCACAAGCTTCTGAGCCCGTTTTCTCAGGACTTCATTTTTGCAGTTACGGCTCTCTTCGCTATCACGGCAGAGAAGCAAAACGTTGATAGCCAACTGTCAAGCATTGAAAACTCTTAAAAGACACTTAGTATCGGACGACTGGAATGTAAATGACTTTGAGAGTTGCATCAATAAATGTGGCTCTGCTATGATCATTGATTTTTTCTAGAACTTCTAAGAAACTTGAGAGGTCCACATTTCAATTCAGTTCAAGAAATAATTGATGTTGTTTAAAAGGTTTTCAACTCCCTCTCATGAGAAGATTTTGAAAAGGCAATTTTGATTGAATGGGAAACAATGCCTCAAGTTATGTTTGAAAAAGAAAGGTACATATTTTGAAAGTCTAAGAGGAGGAGAGTCATCAGATGAAGGATCATAACGTCTATTATCATTTGTAAGAACTATTTGCAAAGAATTGATTAGCACTCATATAAATTCAATTTTCAGTTCCTTTCTCTAGGGCATTGAGGGATATTTAAAATTTTACCAGGGGTTACGCAAACAAGTCGCCAAAAAATCACTGTAACTTGGTGATTTTTCGACGAAATGAGTTCAACAAGGTTGTTGTAGAAAGCTAATAAAATGATCTCTAACCTTGGCATTATGAGGCTAGGTTCCTTGTGCGCATGCGCCTCAACGGAAATTTCTTGTTATGCAAACAACCCTGATTCGACTCAGTTAGGAAGTGTCGGAATATAATTCAGATCCTCCTCGACCGTTACAGCTACTGATGTGAATATTCCAAGTAGAGGCTGTTGAGTAATAGTAAAAATGCTGTGCAAAGCAAATGGTTTTACTGAATGCAGATGTTGCACTCATGGTAATGAAACCGTTTAGCTTGTACAATTTGCATCCCGTTAGCTTAATTTGTTGGCCTATTTTAGGGTTGGTGACAAGAATTCTGGGCCACCCAATGCACTCTTTACAGAAGGGTAGGTGACAAAACCTGCAGGACACCCATTTTACTCATGTATGTTCCTGCCATAATACATGAAATTAATTGCAGCATAACCTCAAAAGTCTGGGAAACTGCGAAGAAACGGGACCGAGGTGGTAGTACCCATTATGTCAGCAAATAGCCAGGGTTAAGTGGCCAACTGAACACGTGTCCTGATTTCCCTTTATTATAGACATGTTTTAGCAGATCCCTGTCAAATGAAAACCTGCTGTTAGGGGCCATTTTAGAAAATGGCAGCCTTAGAAAAGTACAGGTAACCATGAAAGATCCGGCTTGTGTCTCAATCGATTTTTGTTGTTGCTGTCGAGTATCTCAAACGGCTTTTCCACCAAGTTTCATGTTGGTAGCCTAAAGCACACTACTAGGGTTATTTTTGACCCCAAGCAAACCTACTAAAATTCAAATTTAACATTTGATGTCATTAACTTTTCTTCGCATTCAAGGTATTCATTTTTATGTCAATTTTTAATTTTTAGGCTGCTGGTGATCTAGGAATAGCTGTATGTAATGTTCCCGGTTATGGGGTAGAAGAAGTAGCAGATACGACAATGTGTCTCATATTAAATCTGTATAGACGTACATATTGGTTAGCAAATGCTGTTAGAGAAGGAAAAAAATTCACAGGTCCTGAACAAGTCCGGGATGCTGCTCAAGGCTGTGCTAGAATAAGAGGAGATACTCTCGGCATTGTTGGTTTAGGTATGTGCACCTATCTTATGAACATTTTTATTTTTCAATTATTGAAAGAAGGAGGTTTACTGTTGATGTATGATGACAGATTTAATCATTTGGAGGAAGTCATTTATCCTGGTCACCCAACTGTTGCAGGTGTGCAACAATGTCACAACTAAAATTTCAACATCTTCCTGCAATTAAATTTCAAAATTCTTCACCTGAGCTAAAAATGGAGCCTCCTTAAGATTCATTTAGTATATTATGCATTGTGCTTTTTGTGTTCAGTGTGCTAAAAAAGGGGGAAGAAAAAAAAACTAAATTCAGTACATCACAGATAAGACCAAGAGCTTGATTTATAAACAACAGTTTTTGCCCCCTCAGTTTTGTTTCCTCAGTCTTTACCCGTTTACTGACTACATAATCCTACTCGAGCCCTTCTTTTTCCAGGTTTTCAGACTCTTAAAAGAATCTCCGGGGGATGCCAGCAGGAAGGGGTCAAAATCGTTACTTGTGTTGATTAATATCCCCTGAATGAGGAAAGATATCAAAGGCTACTCAAAATTGTCTAAAATTGCCTCCTTTCGAATTCCTTAGAGAAAAAAATTCCTAAGTGTGATTTTTAGGCACTGTGTCTAGCAATTCTTCAATTTTTGAAATGAAAATATCTTGCTTTCTTTAATAAAAAAAAAGGGAGAAAATAAAAAGATTGCAATTTTCGATCTGAACCACAACAAGTTTTCTAAAGTGGCATCCCTATTTGGCGAGGACGTTTTCAAGTGTGGAAAGCAGGGAATTGTCAGGTCATTAAGTGAACAGATCAGCCCACATATTCCGGACCTAAGGAGGGGTTGCCATTTGGGCCGAAATCGGCCCCTCCACGGATTTGAGAAATTTTTGGATATTTGGTAGTTGACAGTGCATATTTGACAGAAATAATCCAGTTTTTCCGATACTCATGCTTTATGGCTGCGAAAAAGAGGCATAAACATGGCTCCGGAGTCGAAAATAGCTGAAATTTCGCGTGTTTCGTGGCTCTACCTTAGATTTCGACCTGGGCCCAACGGCGACGGGTGGTGAGCTTCAAATATGGTGTCTGAGAAACCTAGACACGTAACATACTTGAATATGATCAACCGTCGCACAGTGTGGCGAAAGGCCGGTTTGCCCGCACGTGCGCTCGACCACTTGCGTTTTGTTGTCAACTGTGGCCCTGAAACGCATCATTTCTTTCTAATTAAGGAGGACCCTCTTTAGGCAATTTTTGTCATAGATTTCAAATCTGCCTTTATTTTTACCATTAGAGTGATGAAAATCCGAGAAAAATTGCTATTTACATAAGTTGTTCCTGAAAAATACTAAAAACATTGATTTCCACTTCGAAACTGTGGCTTTAACACGCATCATTTGATGAGCATTGGGCAATTTTTGTTGTAAATTTCAAATCTGCCTTTACTTTTACCATTTGATTGATGAAAATCCGAGAAAAATTGCTATTCACATAAGTTGTTCCTGAAAAGTACTAAAAACATTGATTTCCATCTCGCAAATGAATGTATTTCTATAATTTAAACGTTTGACACATCTTAAAATATTTGCAGCCGTCCTTCTCTCTTTCCACCTGGCTTTATAAGTAGCATTGTACGTATTCATATCTGTATATTTTAATACTGCTGTTAATATAGGAACAAAAAAAATTGAATAAAATAGAAGAAACAAGATTTTAAACAACATCTCTATTTGCCCTTCATGACCAAACAAAACGCTAACTCTCGACTACGTCATCCACTACCACATCCAGCTAATTAGCTACATTCAGCTTAATTTATCAATATGAAATATTTTTTTTAAATATTTGGTAAAATTAATTAGACTTAAATTTGTAATAAGTCTATATTTACAATATTAGTTCTATTAATATTGACTTTCCACAGGTAAAATTAAATGATATTCTACATGATATTCGAAATTTCTATAATTGCAGTGTTAATAATTATTATAACATGAGGATACCAACCAGCGCGAGTAGAAGTCACATTATTTAAAGTTAAAATAACAGTTCTAACCTCTTTGCCATTCATTATTAGTATGTTAAATAACAGAAACAATTTAAAGTTCTGACATATCCAATATATAGAAGTAAATAAATTACACTACTACTGTTGCATCCAGTAACTTTTTTACTCGTGATTAGCCTATTTTAACCTCTGACCACTTACCTGCGTGATAGATCTTAGAGAAATATCAGCAATTGGTTGCGCGGAGTGATTAAAACCGATTTCGCGCAACCGACTTCATATTAGATAATATCATGCTGCCGTCAGAGAAGCAGATATTAGCAGCTAAAAATTGTTCAGGAGGCTGCTCAGGGGTCCTGTGGGTCTGACCCAACAAGTCCCAGCGTGGCACTCCTTGGCACTTGCAACGAAAGTTAATGTAAAGTTTTATTTTCAGCATTTTCGGCGCGAGGACTTTCAGACGGCATAAATAGTCTTCAAACCTATTTACGGCTACATTTTAGTAGTGAAAAATGATCAGCAGCTTGCAAAGAGTAAGATTACATCATCAGAAAAGGTCTCATTAAATTTTAAATTAGGCGAAAGAATGCATAAACATTGGTGCGTTTTTAGAGGAAATTTTAGATTGCCGACTTAGCGGACTCTACCACCCTCAACCACAAAGACCCCCCCCCCCCCAAATTTTAGATTGCCGACTTAGCGGACTTTAGAGGCCTGTACCATCAATATGGGGGATGAAAATTTAAAAACTATCATCAAATCCATATAATATAGTACCCGTAGAACACATTTCCGGTCCTAAACATTCACAATCCCGGAATCGCCCATGTCCGACCTTTTGCCCATATCGCCACACCGTGCGTCGCCTTAGGGCCCAATTTCAAAATCGAACTTTTCCAACTTCTTAGCCTGAAACAGCTGAAAATTCATGTTTTTTGCGGTTCTAACTCAGATTTCGACCTGGACACAAAGGCGACATGTGAAGAGCTTCAAATACAGGGTGTCCCAAAAGTCCGTACCCCCCCTCGTAACTTTTGAACGGTTAGAGATAGAAAAACGAAACTTTGGGAATGTTTCTATCTCAAAGGGGTCCATCTTCTAGGGGGGTCAAAATTTTTGTCCCCCCCTCAGGGGGGGCGCGGGGGCCCCCAACTTTTTTTTTTCAAATGGTAACCCCTATCTTGTGATACATCATTAGAAAGAGCATAAAAAACTAAGAATTTTGGCGCAAACCGCAAATCAATATCTTAATTTTTGACCGAGTTATGATAGGTCAAAGGTCAAATTTGACCTATTTTCAAAAAATCATATCTCCAGTTCAAATTATCGTAAAGAAAAAAATAAAACGGGAAAATTTACCAAATTTTAAGCACTTTCAAGTAAAAATCACAGAAATTACTTCAAACTAATTTTAAGGGGGGTTTCGGACCCCCAAAAACGTCATTTTAAAGGTCATACGATATTCTCGCGAAATGAGCCAATTTCTCCTTACTTTTCTTCAACATTATCTTAGTAAGTTCAAAATTAGTTGAAAATTGCGTTTTCAAGTCCCCAAATTTCGAGCAAAGTGCAAAAAACGAAATTTAAGGTAATTCAATTCAACCATTTAAATTTCATTTTTTTTAAAACTTTGTTCGAAATTTGGGGACTTGAAAACGCAATTTTGAACTAATTTTGAACTTACTAAGATAATGTTGAAGAAAAGTAAGGAGAAATTGGCTCATTTCGCGAGAATATCGTATGACCTTTAAAATGACGTTTTTGGGGGTCCGAAACCCCCCTTAAAATTAGTTTGAAGTAATTTCTGTGATTTTTACTTGAAAGTGCTTAAAATTTGGTAAATTTTCCCGTTTTATTTTTTTCTTTACGATAATTTGAACTGGAGATATGATTTTTTGAAAATAGGTCAAATTTGACCTTTGACCTATCATAACTCGGTCAAAAATTAAGATATTGATTTGCGGTTTGCGCCAAAATTCTTAGTTTTTTATGCTCTTTCTAATGATGTATCACAAGATACGGGTTACCATTTGAAAAAAAAAAGTTGGGGGCCCCCGCGCCCCCCCTGAGGGGGGGACAAAAATTTTGACCCCCCTAGAAGATGGACCCCTTTGAGATAGAAACATTTCCAAAGTTTCGTTTTTCTATCTCTAACCGTTCAAAAGTTACGAGGGGGGGTACGGACTTTTGGGACACCCTGTATGGTGTCTGGGACACCTAGACACGTAACATACTTGAATATGATCAACTGTCGCCTTTGGGCCCAACTTCAACATTGAACTTTCTCAACTTTTAAGCTTGAAGTAGTTGAAAATTCCTGTTTGTCCAACGTTCTCTTCAGGTTCTGGACTGAACCCAGAACTTGCCTTCGAATATAGAGAATGGATTCACATAGTCTTGCTATATTGACTGTCACAAGTCACTTGAATGACTGTCAAAAATGAGTTTTGTACTATTTACCGTATAGGTAAACTTGTCAACTCCAGATTCCTTGATTGCTTGCTTGAGCTCTCTAGTGCTTGGTAATGTCACCTTTATAAAAAGCTCAGTGTAATTGAACAGCATACAGGTTTATATTTGATGACTATCTCAGCTGAGAGATATCCGTTGATAGGAACTTCAAGATAGGTTTTTTTGACTGAATGCAGTTTTCACCAAATGTAACTCTGTAGTGCTTATCATGGCCTCATGAGGTCAGAGAATTATGCTGTGTTGGAAAGTTGGAAAAGTTCGATTTTGAAGTTGGGCCCAAAGGCGACGGTTGATCATATTCAGTTATGTTTTGTGTCTAGGTGTCTCAGACACCATATTCGAAGCTCACCACCCGTCGCCGTTGAGTCCGGGTCGAAATCTGAGGTAGAACCGCGAAAAACATGGATTTTCAGCTATTTCGGGCTAATAAGTTGGGAAAGTTCGATTTTGAAGTTGGGCCCAGAGGCGACAGTTGATCATATTCAGTTGATCATACTCAAGTATGTTTTGTGTCTAGGTGTCCCAAACACCATATTCGAAGCTCACCACCTGTCGCCGTTGGGTCCGGGTCGAAATCTGAGGTAGAACCGCGAAAAGCATGGATTTTCAGCTATTTCGGGCTAAAATGTCGAAAAAATTTGATTTCGAAGTTGGGTCCAAAGGCAACGGTTGATCATATGCAAGTATGTTATGTGTCAAGGTTTCTCAGACACCATATTCGAAGCTAATCACCTGTCGCCTTTGGGCCCAGGTCAAAATCTTAGGTAGAACCTCGAAAAACGAAAAACGCGAAATTTCATCTATTCGCTGCTCCGGAGTCATGTTTATGCCTCTGTTTTGCAGCCATAAAACGTGAGTATGGGCAAAACAGGATTATTTCTGTCAAATATGCACTGTCAACCGCGAAACATCCAAAAACTTTTCAATACAGTGGAGGGACCGATTTCGACTCAAATCGCAACCCCTACTTTCACCAAAAACAGCTGTTTGTCAAACCGCTGTCAACACCTTTCAATTGAATCAATTGCTGAGTACCGAGGAAGTGGAAGAAAGCTTATTATGTCATAACCTTAACACCTTCTTCATTAGTTGTTTTTGTGGCTTTTGTTGCATGAAGTCCAGGAGGGTATGAATAGGAAATCGACTCTAAGAAATCTGAATTTTATGGTCCCAGAGCCCCCCCCCCTTCATCTCATGGTAGGAGGGGGGGTAAAAGAGGGCTCCATACTTCGAAAGTCAGGGTTTACATCAAAATTGTGAAATTATTTCATTGGAATCTGAAAGTACGAAAATTCTTAACCTACAGTGACACAAAGAAATCCAAAATCGGCCCATCCATGTCTAAAATTCCGACCGCTAAAGGTGGGGGACTGAGCCTTCGATTAAAAACTCAAGTTCGTTAAGTTGACGTTGAGACTCAAAAATAATGTGTAGTCATGGGTTATCGACCCCAAAGAATCCGAATTTGAGAGTCCTGTTGTATTCAGAGACTTTTCTGATGGGGCACATAGGGGCTCTGAACTTCTAGATTGAAGCAGTATGGGTTGGGGAGGGTTACCCCTGTGCCTCATCAGAAAAGTCTCTGAGGACATCAGGTCCCTCGAATTCGGATTCCTTGGGGTCGATCACCCACAACTACTTATTTTTTCCGAGTCTCCACGGCAATTTAAAGAACTTGAATTTGAAAGGAGGCTATTTCCCCCATATTTAGCGGTTGATATTTTCGACACGGATGGGCCAATTTGGGATTTCTTGGTGTACATTTATGTCAACAATTTTCGTACTTTCTAATTCCGATGAAATAATTTCAACATTTTAACATAAACCCTAACTTCTGAAGTATGGACCCCTCGTTTACCCCCCAAGGGACGCCGGGGGGGGGGGGGCTCTGGGATCATAAAGTTTGGATTCCTTGGGGTTGATTGCCTATTCATCTCCGCGATCCTGGACTTTGTGCAACCTAAATTAACCCCAAGAAAGGACCGGTACAATAGGTCTGGGCCACCCTTTATGATTAGCGATTTTTCTCGGATTTTCATTACTCAAATGCTAAAAGTAAATGCAGATTTACAATCTACGACAAAAATTACCCCTCCCTCTTGCTCTGCGATTCTGAATAATGCGCCTTGAAGCAATAGTTGATAACATAACGAGTGTGAAGGAACGCATGTCTGGGCAAACCTGCCTTTTGCCACACCATGCGCCAGTGGCAGATCTGATGTGCTCTCTTAGCGTTAGAATTTTAGACCCCATTCTATTTTTTCAGCAGACAATCCTTGCATGTTTGCTTGTAAAGTTTTGCCGAATTTTTCTTGAGTTCTACTGAGTTTGACGCCAAATAGCAAGAAAATTCATGGATAAATATACTTGCCGACAGAACAAAAAATAGTTTTGCCTTTTATTGAAACTGTTTCCTTTGCTGAATCAGATGTTGATAGACAACTAAGGGTTTGCTGAATAATTTGGTTACGGCCAGGATTGTTAATTGGTACCTTCAAAGTCTGGTTGTTACAGCTAAAGGTAAAACAGTGGCATTAATGTAATGCAAAACCAGAACCTCGCAGAGACTAGAGAACATCCATGAGAAAGTGAATTAGGAGCAATGTACTTATCTTTGTACATCTATCTGATGTTAACCACCACCATTACTGGGGATTTCGGATTTAGATTCGCACATCAAGGCATGAATTTCTCGTTTCTCTTATCGTCTGGACATGCTCGCTAAACTGTTGCAATTCTAGCTGGTTTTATGATCAACACCTGAAAATGAAAATGTTCACCTGCTTCTGTCATATGCAACAAAAAGAATGGAAAAAAAAATGGTTAGTTTTTAGCACGTTAAGAGCCCTTCACCAAAAGAGTCAAAATTTGCCAGTTTTGTTTAGTGCCCATCCAGAGTAGTGCGTTTAAAAAATGAGAATCATTCAGAAAAAATGATTGAGATCTGCACTCGTGATCAGCACTTGTCTCTTTTCGCCCTTCTATTGCTGTATCCTTATATCAACTTAAAGTCATTTTACTTTGTTTCAGGTCGTATTGGCTCAGCTGTAGCCTTAAGAGCCAAAGCTTTTGGTTTTAATGTAATATTTTATGATCCTTACCTGCCTGATGGTATTGAAAAATCATTGGGTCTAACACGTGTTTATACATTACAGGTAATGATACTATTTAAGCCAATACTTTTGACTGGGTAGCTTTGACATTTGTATCACATTTTCTTAAAAATTAGGAGCATATGCCCATAGATCACAGATCACGTTCGGTTTTTAGGGGGAAGGAGGATCAAGAGATAATTCAGTGGAGGTTGTCAAACACTGTTTAAAACTACGCATATTCGCGGCTGCAGAAATATACAAAATTAATTTGCCACCAATGCTCCAGACAATTTATCACTTTCTCTCTAGTTTCTAATTTTTGAATGAATAAGAGGTAAATCCGCTGATTATTCTCTTACAACTGCTCTTCAATTTTATGCACCTGTCCTTGTCTTTTATTGTTACTTCTGTCCTGATGGGAAAAACATTCACTTGTAACTGTAATACAGGAGTCCCTTGAAAAAATTTACTGTTGAATTTTCACTCAGCTTTAGTAGCATCAGGTTCCAGAATGTAAATTCCTAATCAAACTTTAATATACAGGGTTATTCAAAAGTTACGCACCACTGGCCATAACTTTAGTTCTAATTATGATATCGATTTGAGGTTTGTGGCGCCCTTCCTCATATCGAGGGGGAAACTTATTGAAGTACTTTCCAGTTCTTCACCCCCCCAGGGGGAGGGGGGGCGGGGGGCAACTCAAAAATTTCAAATGGCAACCCCCATCATGTGATACATCGTTAGAAAGAGCATGAAAAAAGAAAATTTTTGGCGCAAACCGGAAGTCGATCTGCGTTGCAGTCCGTAAGCATTTTTACTAGGGCGGGGCAGGTGAGGTGCTCTAATGCTTTCACTATATTTTATTATCTCTTAAATTTCTTTAAATTTACATGTTATTTTTAGCACAATTGCTTTATTTGAACCGCAATGTTCACATTTAAGATGAACATGAATAGAAACAAATGGTTAAACGGTATTTATCACCAAGGAATTAGTTTTTGGGATCATTCTTGAAACAACCAATGCGCCACTTGGTCTCCCTATGCAGTTAGGTGTTTTTATTGATGAGCCAGAAAAAGTGGTACCTTTTTGCAAAATGCAGCTCCTTCAATGTTGTCAATGCAAATAATTTGAAAAAAGCAAAGAAAGCCCCACTTCTCCTGGCAAGTTGCATTATCTGAAAACGTGTACGACAAAGAAATGTATCCTGTGTTTTTTCCCTCTAAATTTACAAATTTTATTTTGCAATTTTCTCTCTTACTTTTTAGGATTTATTATTCCAATCAGACTGTGTTTCACTACATTGTACATTAAATGAACATAATCATCACCTCATCAATGACTACACTATCAAACAGATGAGACCAGGTAAGATGATTGTTTTGTTGACCAAGTTCATGGGTGATAATTCTTTTTTTCTTTGACTTTTCCCTAACATAACGTCTCTCTCTATTCCCAGGAATTTTTTATGTATCTTAACCTCAAAAGAAGAGGCACCTCCGGTGTAATTACTTTTGACAAGTCACTGGCCAAAGTCAGCCTTACACTCCTACTTGCTTGAAAGTTAAAAACTTAAAGTAATTTTTTTTTTTTTTTTCGGATGAGGGGAATAATTCGCTACAGTGCCCCCATCATGAGGGTCGCCAAAACGCCCCCTCCCCCCCATGGAAGGGGCCCACCGAATACCGGGACGGCAACGGCCATCAGCTGGTGAAGAGCCGCCGAGGCGACCCCTAACCGACCCGACCGCTGTGAGATGGGGAAAACCCGGTTATGTGAGGGTAGAGCACGCCAGCGGCACGCCGCTGTATTCCATACCCACTCAAAGACCCCTCCAGGCCACACCCCCTGCAAGTGTGGCCCATCAGACACTCTATCCTCCAGTCGGATGTCCCTAAGGCACTCCTCGAACGGCAGTCCCCGGCACCGGTGCAGCCGGCGCCCCTCAGGACCCCCACTTGGGGGAGGGTCCCCCATCCCCTGGGATTGATCTGCCAAAGCCATCATTGTACCCGGAGTCAAGGGCGTAGGAGGTGAGCCTAGGGTGCGTCAAAAAAAATGAAAGTCTGAAATGTTCCGCTCTCCAGGCGGCAATCGATGACATTTGGTAAAAAAAACATGTTTGCTAAAATTTGGGCCAATTTCAACCATTTTAAATGGTGCCAAAGGTCAATTTTGTGATGAAACTATGATATTTTGGTTTAGACCTCGATTTCGTACAAAAAACTCGATTTTACGCAGAAATGGTGCTTTCATGAGATAAATGCCACAGAACTCAAGTTGTAGAAGAAGAAATTTTTCTGTGGGAAGACGTCTTCCTAAACAATAAAAATCATATTGAACTAGAAAAACTCACCTCGGTATTTATTTTTTTGGTCCTCAGCACTTTGAAGGTCTTACAAAGTAGCGGTTTAAAAGACTCATTTCTCGCGCAAATAAGTCAAAAGAGGGTATAAATTAACTGTAGGCAAGTGTTGAGGATGCAAAAGTCATCAGAACTTCCTCAGTTTTAAAAAAAGTTCCAACTATTTGGCACAATCTCCAAAAAGTGTACGGCTCGAGAAGCAGGATAACAATACAGGATACAATAGTAAGGGAGAAGTGCGGTTTGACCGGGAAAAATTGCTTAAAAAACTTTCCCTATGTAATCGTCATCAGTAGGTCCCCCTGAAAAACTGCCTAAAAGATAAAAATGGCCCGACCCCGGAACACCCCTCAAAGTAGTTAAAATTGAAAATGGCGGCCGTAATGAGGGGGTCCGGGAAATCGGTATTTTAAAATGCTCATTCTGTCTCATGTGAGGTATCATTTCTGTGTAACTATGGTCGTAAATTTCATAAATGAGCTCCAGAAGGCCCCCCCGTCAAAGGGGGCGCTCCAAACTAAAGATGGCGGCCAAATGTGAAAGGCAGGAGATTGCATTTTCTTAAATATTCAGCGAAGAAACAAGGGAAGTGAAGTGTCTCTATTTTCATGTATTTATGGCCAAGAAACCTAAATTTGATGTTATGGATGCATTTGATAAAGGAAATTAAAAGAAATATATGACTACGGAGATAAGCGTAAGCTCTGAAGCTTGTTTGCATTTTTACGGCCGCCGTTTTCAATTTTAACTATTGAGGGGTGTTCGGGGTCGGGCCATTTTTATCTTTTAGGCAGTTTTTCAGGGGGACCTACTGATGATGGTTACATAGGGAAAGTTTGTAAAGCAATTTTTCCCGGTCAAACCGCACTTCTCCCTTACTATTATAGCACGATCCTGCTTCTAGAGCCGCACACTTTTTGGAGGATTGTGCAAAATAGTTGGAACTTTTTGGAAACTGAGGAAGTTCTGATGACATTTGCATCCTCAACACTTGCCTACAGTTAATTTATACCCTCTTTTGACTTATTTGCGAGAAAAATGAGTCTTTCAAACCGCTACTTTGTAAGACCTTTAAAGTGCTGAGGACCAAAAAAATAAATACCGAGGTGAGTTTTTCTAGTTCAATATGATTTTTATTGTATACAAAGACGTCTTCCCACAGAAAAATTTCATCTTCTACAACTTTCGTTCTGTGGCATTTTTCTCCTGAAGGCACCATTTCTGCGTAAAATCGAGTTTTGTGTCCGAAATCGAGGTCTGAACCATAATACCCTTGTTTCATCACAAAATTGACCTTAGGCACCATTTAAAATGGTTGAAAATGGCCCAAATTTTTGCAAACATCTATTTTTTCCAAACGTCATCGATTGCCGCCTGGGGAGCGGAACATTTCAGACTTACATTTTTTTGACGCACCCTAAGGAGAGCCTAGGCCCAGCTTGCGCCAAACTCTGCGACAACCCTACGGCAGGGCTCTGGAGCTGAGGACTGTAGGGCAGGGACGGCAGGGAGGGCAGACCTGCTACGTTTCGCTCAGTCCTCGAGGCACCCGATCTTATGAGGCCCCAGAAGGGTGTGTCGAACCTGATATCCCCAATTGGATAGCCTGCTGTTTAAAGTAAAATTAGAACACAAGAAAAGCAAAAAGCAAAATTTGAAAAACGGATGAAAAAATCAAAAATTGCATCTGAAAGAAAGTAATTGACACTAAGAAACGACCTGATGATGCCTGACATGCTTATAATAACGGACTTCTGCAATGATTGCAACAGGTTACTCGTTCTTCCTAGGTCTTGAAGAAGTTAAATTAAACTTTTCTGAATTATTCCTGTGACTGACATTTTAAGGGGCTTGATGTAATTTATGTCTGGGCTCCATTGTCGTTTTATTTTCGCAGCTAAGGGCAGATATTTTGCCATTTTTTCTTGATATTTTAACTCCAAGTTATGTTTATTTGGGATGTTAATATCAGTGATGTAAGTGGTGCAATTTTGCTTATCAACCAGCACTATGTCCAGCCTGCTAGCCGCGATGATCGAATCAATCAAGGTTGAGCTGTCCCAATAGAGCCACACTGCCCTGTTGTCTTCCCACAGCCCTTTCAGGGAGTTGGCACTCATGTCATTTCCTTTAGAACTGCTGTTGCCATTCTGTAACTGGGCGTCCCCTTCATCTCCTTCCAGGAGGGATCCAATCAAACATTTTCCTTGGCAGCTTCTCTTCAAGCTTGATTCAAAGGAGGTTGGTACAACTAGCCAAATTGTCAATGTACCAGTGGGACCACGATCTGATGCGCAGTTCGAACTGCTTGTTTTGATATGCTACTTGTAGTGTTTCAGAGCACCCATCCACTATCTTTTTCTCGAGAACGGCGGAGAACTGAGCTTCAGGACGAATTTCTAGGTGCAAATTGACCCCTCCGAATTCAATGAAAATATTTGCAGCTCCCTGAAACTCCATTCTGGGGGAATTTTAAGGGGGGTAGCGGTACCCCTCATTTCTCGCAAATTTCAAATGGGTAGGGTATGTTTTGACTTCGGATTCAAAGTTTATTGCCATAAACAAGACATTTTTGTTCTATGCCTTTAGTCCCTAAATCCCAATTTTTTGGTGTTACGCCCTGTAACTTTGCCCCGTTTTGGGGTATTTTTTGGGCAAATCACAATTGGAGACTGTAGGCGTTAAAATTTCGATTTTCGAAATCTAAAAGTCTCCTGAGAGAGGAGGTCAATACCTTTTTGTTGATGTGCCACCCAGAATTAAGGGGACCACGATTCCCCGAAAATTTTGTGACTTCAGGGAAATGAAGCAATTTAAAATATCGTGATAACAATAAAACACATTCATAAAGTGTTTCGAATGTGTCCAATTAATATATGAGGACTTATCTGTAACAACAGCAGATGTCGAGTTTTCACATTGTGAGAAAATCGTATTTGAAGTTTTCGAAGCTTTGCAATTTGCCGCCCGTAGAACCGAGAGGATTTTTATAAAGATTTTCATGAAGAGCAACCCTTCCTGTTATAAAACACACGTTTTGGGATCTATGTAAGTGAAAAATTGAAGGAGTAACAGTGTTTCAAAGAAAACAGGACATCTGCTGTTTTTACTGAAAATGTTTTTCTATGCATGATACAAAGTCTTCAGGAGGGTTAAAGCTGGTGAAACGATTGAAATGAACCAAAAGTAAGTCAATACTGAGTCATTTAACACAATTGAACGAAAAACTAGAGCGTTTGTAACTTCTAGAACAAAAATAAGGGACCAATTATTAATTCAGTAAAAAAATCAATAATTCTGGAAAGACTGTCCCGATACGTATATTTTGAGTGTCAGCTATAGCCCATGGCTGGTGCGCGGGCAGTTATGGAAAGTGGATTCGATCCTCTACCATGTCCTGCTGCGCCGGCAGGGGAGAACAATGGATTCTCACACCCGCTGTTTTTAGAAATAACATGGTTTTCAGTTCCTATCTCGCTGAAAAATTGTCCTATAAGTCTGAATCTTTGCACAGGCATTCTTGAGGGTTCCAGAATTCGAAAATAGCATTTGCCCTAAAAGTGGCGTATGTCAGCGACCGCTTTTGTTACATATAAGTCCTCATATGTCTTCATATTCTGTCGCAATAAACAATGGGTGCATAACAAGAAATAGTTGTTATTAGTATCAGTCTGCTTGCACGCAACCCGCACCAGTCGTGTCGATTCAAACTTTGCGCTATTCGAGGTCCTACTAGTATGTCATCAACATGGCGCCGAAATGGTTGATTGTACCAACCAGCTTTTAATCAGCCTTGGCTTCTCTTTTGTCATCCTATCAACAAGACCATACTAGACAAGCCGTTTAGTCATGATATCTAATAGGTACAATGTCATTTTCGACTTCCATGATCTGATGCTCTTTTTCATCACGGACCCTACCTTTTCTGAAAATTCCTGTAGACCTCCAAGAGAAATCCATCTCTGCTTGGTTGAACATATCCTGTGTCTGTTTCTTTAGCCGCCAAACTTCTCGTCATAGGTTAAAATACTTTTGTTTACAGCATTGTAAATGCTCTTCTTGCTGTCACCATGTTTTTTAAGAATGTTTTAAAATTATTTTTAAAAGAATTATTTTATACTTTTAAATTACTTTAGGAAAGCATGGGGATATTCCTCTGTAAAAACATAATTTCTTTTTTTACAGAAGGGTATTGCTGAGTAAGAATGCCAAAAATGCCTACCCCTCCGTAAATACATTATTTCTTTTTTTACAGAAGGGTATCCCTGAATAAGAATACCAAAAATGCCTATGCTCATGGATTTTGATTTTAACCGTGTCGAGTGCTTGAAGGGATTCTATGACCAAGGATTTTAGCCATTTTGGCCACCTGATTCCATCTACCTCCTGTAGCCCCCTCCCTCCCCCCACCGGTTTTTTAACACTATTTTTATGTTGTATTTTGTATCTCCCACGCTTTTCAACTAAAATAAAACAAATTTTGACTGGATTTACTTCAAATTCGTCAATGCGTTATTTTGTAGGATTGAAAATTTGAATAATGTTAAGCAGCATTCAGAGAAACATAATTTCATGTATTTGGAGAAAGAAATTTCCTAACTAAATTAAATACGTAATTCTATCCAAGGAATGAAACTTTTCAGGAACCATCTTTATAGAGGGTGGAAGAAAAGTATGGATACTTATTCATATCTCGGAAACTGCTGCAAATACTGCCTTGCTGTATGGACGAAACTTCCTCAAAAGGAAATGCGCAAATTTTTCAAGGGTGACTGTGACCCCTAGCCTCCACATTGAGCGTCAGACGAGGGGCAACTTTCGAATCTCCAATGGGAACCCCATCACTAGTATATTGTTGAAAAGACCATAAAAAACAAAAATTTTGGCACAAACCGTAGGTTGCTTCTATCATTGTTAAAAAATGGAGACAGGGGAATCACTGTCCTCTTCAAAAAATTTGCCCACTTCAAATTTCGATCACTTAGAGGGAAGTTTCGTTCGAACCGCATGTTAATGTCTGCAACCGTTTTCGAGATATTATTAAGTATTCATACTTTTCGCCCACCCTGCAGTAAGGAATCCTAGTACCCAGAGCATTTTTGGAAAATGAGAAAAGGCCGTAGCAATGACTCTCAGGCAAGTACCATCTTCAACTGCATAGAAAGTTACTTAAACCATGGTGAGATGAACTCATCTGTGACTGATTTTTCGCTTAATACTCACAGGTGCATTTTTGGTGAATACTGCAAGAGGTGGATTAGTTGATGATGAAGCACTTGCCAACGCCTTGAAACAAGGACGCATTAGATGTGCTGGTTTGGATGTCCATGAAAATGAACCTTATAATGTTTTTCAAGGTAAGTGAGATTCCTTTCTCAGTTTTCCTTCTTGTTTATTTTACTACATTTCAATGATATTTATCATGTTCTCTATCAAAATATATGCCGGGTGTTCCAGAGCACCTGTCCACCACCTTTTCCTCGAAAACCGCCGAAAATTGAGCTTCAGGATGTAATATCCGAGGGGTAAGTAAAGCCCAAAGAATTCAATGAAAATATTTTTAGCCCCCAAAATGGATTTAAGGGGGTGCCCCCGTTTCTCGCGTATTTCAAATAGTAAGGGTATGATTCGACTTTGGGTTTAAGTTCTATGGCCAAAATAAGAGCTTTTTCTTCAATCCATTTTTTCCCTAAACCCCATTTTTTCCCTAAACCCCATTTTTTCCCTAAACCCCATTTTTTGGGGCAAATTTCTATTTAACACGGTCAGCATCTGATTGATCCGATTTTCAAAATCTAAAATTCTTCTGAGAGTAGAGGACAATGCATTTTTATTGATGTGCCACAAAAAAAATGAAAGTCTGAAATGTTCCGCTTCCCAGGCGGCTAATGAAGTTTTGTTAAAAATAGATGTTTGCCAAAATTTGGGTCCATTTCAACCATTTTAAATGGTGCCAAAGGTCAATTTTGTGATGAAACTATGATATTTTGGTTTAGACCTCGATTTCGTACACAAAACTCGATTTTACGCAGAAATGGTGCCTTTATGAGAAAAATGCCACAGAACGAAAGTTGTAGAAGATGAAATTTTTCTGTGGGAAGATGTCTTTGTATACAATAAAAATCATATTGAACTAGAAAAACTCACCTCGGTTTTTATTTTTTTGGTCCTCAGCACTTTAAAGGTCTTACAAAGTAGCGGTTTAAAAGACTCATTTCTCACGCAAATAAGTCAAAAGAGGGTATAAATTAACTGTAGGCAAGTGTTGAGGATGCAAAAGTCATCAGAACTTCCTCAGTTTTAAAAAAAGTTCCAACTATTTGGCACAATCCTTCAAAAAGTGTACGGCTCGAGAAGCAGGATAACAATACAGGATACAATAGTAAGGGAGAAGTGCGGTTTGACCGGGAAAAATTGCTTAACAAACTTTCCCTATGTAATCGTCATCAGTAGGTCCCCCTGAAAAACTGCCTAAAAGATAAAAATGGCCCGACCCCGGAACACCCCTCAAAGTAGTTAAAATTGAAAACGGCGGCCGTAATAAGGGGTCCGGGAAATCGGTATTTTAAAATGCTCATTCTGTCTCATGTGAGGTATCATTTCTATGTAACTTTGGTCGTAAATTTCTTAAATGAACTCCACAAGACCGCCCGGTCAAAGGGGGCACTCCAAATCAAAGATGGCGGCCAAATGTGAAAGGCAGGAGGTTGCATTTTGTTAAATATTCACCGAAGAAACAAGGCAAGCCTGAGGGGTCTCCATTTCTTTGTAAATTTAGTCGTAAACTTCATAAACGAAGGCATAACCCCCCCCCTCCCCCGATCAAGAGGAGTGCCCCAAATCCAAGATTATGTTTATGATAAGTCTAGTAATAAGAAATTGGTGGAAGAAAACAGGATCAATCATGTGTGCACGGATTGCTAAAGAACGGAGAACATGCACTAGAATTGGAAGAAATTATCTGTTGACACATTAATACATTAACTCATAAAAATGCAAACACGCTTCAGAGCTTACGCTTATCTCCGTAGTCATATATTTCTTTTAATCTCCTTTATCAAATGCATCCATAACATCAAATTTAGGTTTCTTGGCCATAAATACATGAAAATAGAGACACTTCACTTTCCTTGTTTCTTCGCTGAATATTTAAGAAAATGCAATCTCCTGCCTTTCACATTTGGGGGCCATCTTTAGTTTGGAGTGCCCCCTTTGATGGGGGGGCCTTCTGGAGCTCATTTATGAAATTTACGACCAAAGTTACACAGAAATGATACCTCACATGAGACAGAATGAGCATTTTAAAATACCGATTTCCCGGATCCCATTATTACGGCCGCCATTTTCAATTTTAACTACTTTGAGGGGTGTTCCGGGGTCGGGCCATTTTTATCTTTTAGGCAGCTTTTCAGGGGGACCTACTGATGACGATTACATAGGGAAAGTTTTTTAAGCAATTTTTCCCGGTCAAACCGCACTTCTCCCTTACTATTGTATCCTGTATTGTTATCCTGCTTCTCGAGCCGTACACTTTTTGGAGATTGTGCCAAATAGTTGGAACTTTTTTTAAAACTGAGGAAGTTCTGATGACTTTTGCATCCTCAACACTTGCCTACAGTTAATTTATACCCTCTTTTGACTTATTTGCGCGAGAAATGAGTCTTTTAAACCGCTACTTTGTAAGACCTTCAAAGTGCTGAGGACCAAAAAAATAAATACCGAGGTGAGTTTTTCTAGTTCAATATGATTTTTATTGTTTACGAAGACGTCTTCCCACAAAAAAATTTCATCTTCTACAACTTGAGTTCTGTGGCATTTTTCTCATGAAGGCACCATTTCTGCGTAAAATCCAGTTTTTTGTACAAAATCGAGGTCTAAACCAAAATATCATAGTTTCATCACAAAATTGACCTTTGGCACCATTTAAAATGGTTGAAAATGGCCCAAATTTTTGCAAACATCTATTTTTATCAAACGTCATTAGCCGCCTGGGAAGGAACATTTCAGACTTTCATTTTATTTGACGCACCCTAATGACCCCTGTTGATCCTAAATTATGAAGCCATGACCCCCCCCCCCCTAAAAATAGAATTTTTTGGGGGGGCTTCAGAGGGCCGTAAGTAAAAAATTTTGATCAAATGGCAAGGGTATATTTTGACTTCAGATTTGGATTTTACGTGAAAAGTTACATTGAACTGATATAGTTCACAGCCTATTTGTTCAAAGATGTAACTTCCTTTAGTTGCTGTCAATGACCGTCTCTCAATAATTTCTCTTATGATAATCTCTTAAAAAGAAAAGTTAAAATACTGAAGAAGAAAAAATGAATGAGACGAAGAAAAAGAAGGAAGATGTTGGCAATTGCAACATAATAGTGTTGTAGTAGTGTGTGCATGAAAAATGTTTGAAGGTATCTTTTTCTTTTTAAATTGAAGTGAAAAAAATTCATGTATATAAAATCAATTTGAAAATTCATTTAATTATGTAATACACAATAGACAAACTTTTAAAATATGAGAATTTCACTAAAAATTTTGAAGACAAGAATGTTTGTAAAACCCAAGACAAAGGACAAAAGAATATGATAATCAAGGGAGAAAAAAATCAGATTTTACAGTGTAAGACGTTTCTAAGTATATTTAAAAGCCATTTTTAGCAATATTTAAATTTTTAATTTTATGGAACATTGCTGAAATTTAAATTGTTGGACTTTTGGAAGAAAACCGGCTTCTTGGAAAGTTTAGAACAAAGACTTGTATGTTCATTTTTCATTTCAAATAACCATGGAAACAGAATTCGAGCTTAGATCCAGTAATGTAACCCAAAACAGTATCGGCTGATAACTTGGTGCACAGCAAATGTAGACTAATTATTGATACTATCGAGACATGGGAAACAGATACATATCGATTTATTTTCTTTGAAAAAATTAAGGAAGGCTATTCAATGAAAGATCAATTCCAATCTAATTTGATGCAAATATTAGTTTATAACATAGCAAAAAAGGATGGCAAAGATATGTATTTAACTTAGAAATGATAAAAAATTGCACATATACACGGAAACAGATTTCAACATTTTATGAACCATTTTCAGTGTTCAAATCGCTGCTTCTGAATGATCTGACAGAAAGAAGACGTACAAAATATAATAAGAAATATATACTACAAGCAAATAATTGTCAATTGTGATTCAAAATAGGTGCTTAAATGTTTATATAATTTAGCGAACAATCACTGTATTAGTTAATTACTTCAATCGCCACCATGACAAGTACTGCCAGACTTATTTTGGTACACATTAAAACACTATGCAATGTCATTGCACCAAGGCTGTCAGTCTTGTTGGCATTCTCAAAAAAAGACTTTAACACCAAAAAATAGATTGTTTTTGAACGGTCACAAGTAGCTCAAAGCAACTGGGAATTACATTGTAAAAATGACAAAATGCCTCAAAGTGGTAGGATTGATAAATTATAACTCATTCTATTCAACAATGACTTATCCGTTTTTCAACTTTAAGAAACGAAGAAAAAACTTGATGGCCACAAGCTTCAGCACAAAATCCATTGAAAAGAATAGAAAGCAAGGCTGGCTGTTCACTCTCCATATTATGAAATCCAAAGCGTGCCTACATACCAATAAAAGGCATGCTAAAATTAAAATATTAAAAGAACAGGGGAAGAAAATATAAACAAAAATGAAACGAAATGAGTGGATCTATAATAAATAGTACAACAGTAATAAAATATGAATAAAAAATTTGGTGATTGGGATATGAAAGGGAGAAAAGTATCAGGAAAATTACTAGCATGACGAAAGGAGGGGGGTCAATGAGAGGAAAGTAATCTTGGAGGAATGTGAAAAGTGGGTAAATGTTGCGATTTGAAAATGACGAAAGTAGCTTTTTCGTTGTGATGAGGAGGGGAGGGGCATAATGTCATAATAACACCAAAGGACGACGGACCGGTACTATGGGAAAAGTGGGCCCGGTTAAATCGGCTGGCTTTTGATATGTTGTAGGTCTTAACCTACTGATCAAAAGTGTTAATGGGCGTTTCTTCCATAGAGTACATAGAGTCGTAATGTCAGTGGGTGAGCTGGCGCCACTTTTAAGCATTTTCCAGGTCCCGCATTCCGAGACTCCTGTGTGACGCCGGGTCACTTTTTCGATATATAATCGATTGTTTGCGATACACGGGTACCCGGCCATCCGATGTCAGCAAAGAAGATAGGGATTACCACGTATTCCGCACCGCCATCTTGGATCGAACTTGTATCGAAAAAGTGACCCGAACTCGGCGCACACCGGGCTCGGAACTCGTCGAGCAGAACATGGCGCCAGCTCTCCAATTTAC